ACTTGTTCCTTCTTTGGAAACAGGGGCAGGGGAGGAGAACACTCTATGGAACAAACTAGGGTGCAGGAGGGGGGGCAGATGATGGGACACAGAAAAGGAGGCTATGCATGCCATACGTGTCAACTGCTTCCAACAAAGCATGCCAGCTACCTTGAGATCATCCATGGGTGACTCCATTGAGCCTCCCCCTGCGTTCTTCAATTCCAAGAAACATGAGGGGAACTTGAAAGGATGTGGCCCACCTTCACAGTGTTACAAGTGTATGCTTCACAAATCAAACACACATTCAACCTAATACAGCTGAGACACAAGATTAAATGAGGTGCATAAAGTAGGACTGAAAAAAGGCTGATGGGGACACTTCATGAATTAGATCAGGGGAGATGGGGTGCAGGGGAAAGTGTGCTGCTTACTATTCAAGGGCTCAGAAACATCAACACACAGTAGGACACAACTAACCCCTCCATTTGGACTCAAGACCCACACTTAGAAAGAAATGCTATAAGCAGAAAATTCCATGGGGCCCACACAAGACTCTCCCAGTGTGCATATTCTATGGCCCTTCTATCCTTGAAATAAAACAACAATGGTGTTGAGAGCCCACACAACCAATTCCGTGTATAGACGATGCCTGCCCACGCACCTTAACAACACAACACAAGGGCAGAAGAGAAAAACAGGTCCATGGAAGGAAACCACATCTATGGAGGATCTTGCCTCATCTCGTACATGGAACAGAACCTGGCACTCAGATCACAACTACAGCATGGGGACGTGCACCGCACCCGTTTAAAACACGAGACTCTTCACTCCACAACCCACCACGGTCAACAAGGAGGAAAACTGGACAGGAAAGAAAGATCTTCATACCATGACCCATGAAACACTCACTCAGGTATGACCTCATCAGTCCTGCCTCTATTCATTCAACTCTCATCAATCCTTTCCAAATCAACACACATCCTTTGCTAACTTACAATGGCCAAAACCAACACACATGGACTTCATCTCCAAATCACTCCACAAGTACAAAAACATTCCCATGCCGCTTCAAAAGCTGCCGTGGGCACACACCGCCTTGGATCACTGAACAGACCATCAGCCTGCACCAGCAAGTATCCCAGATTCCATCACAGCCAAACATGGGTACCTTTGAGGTAGGCACATCCGCCCCCAGTTCAAGCTGTGCAGAAGGCGGTGGATCCATGTTTCAAGCTCTGCATCCCACGCCTCTCCTTCTCCATTCCTCTCTGTAAAACAACCCAGAAACTATAGTTTCCCTTAAAAAGCTCCAACACCACCTATCACCAAAATCATACAATTCCATTCAGCCTCTCACCCCCCTGCTTTTCAATGGGCAGTGCCCTCTTTCAAAGTCATTCTGCACAAGGTCCATGACAGCACACATGGATGACACTGCCGTAGGACACACAATCTGCATTTCGGAAAACGATGTGCACAGATGAGTGAGTAGCAAAAAAAACCGTGGCAAAATAAACCACTCTGAACAATGACATCATGATCATTTCACCTTCTTTCATTCGGGAACATCCATGCAACACACATCCCCAGACACTTAAAAAGGACGGTCATCGCGATACATCACACTCTCCCGGAAAGCTGGGAGCTCAACAACCGCTACTGCTTTCACGAGGGAAACGGTCCTACACAGCTGACCATTACCACACCACACAAGGACGACAGACATGAACCACTCAAGACAACCATCACAAAAAATGCATCCTCCACAAAAAAACCTACATGGACATTTCTTACGACACTCAAAAAGGCACTTTGTCTTCTTACATACAAAACACGGATGCTAAAAAAAACGAAACAGACAAGAAACACAAGTGGATAGCCCACGCCACCGGAAAACTTGAAAAATACATTCCATCACTAGGACAAGAAAATACACATTTCTGATACAACCAACAAAAACTGCCTGAAGGGGCTCCCCTACCTCCATTCACAAAAAAACACTCTCCGCATGGCCTGACCCTCCCTGACTCACACAGACTTGCTCTCCC